GTTCTTTCATTATGGATCTCTGTTCAGGTAAACTGCCTTAGGAGAAATCTGTTGAAACATATGTAAAATTATAGCTTTAATCAGCTTGTTTGGCCTCAAACTATAAATAGTATCCATGACAGGTTAGTCTATAACAAAATCCTGGTTATTAATGCTCATGTAGAACTTTTCTTATTATTCTTGAAATCCAAAGTCAGTAAGAATAACTTGTTAGCTAATAGATAAAATCCAATGCAGTAAAAGAATATGTTCTACAACCTATTTTGAACTTGAACTTAAAATATGTTTGGATTAATTAACATGTTTAAGTTGGACACACCTCTGCTCTCCCCATAAGAGTAAAATGGGAGGCATTCTCCAAAATGTAGATAAAAGAATCCAACCTCAAAAGACAGCTGCTTCTGATATCTAATTACTAAAGGACTGATTTGACAAGAATACCAGATCAAGTCACCAAACAATCCTTTCTGGTAACCACATGGGTAATCTTAGACTATATTTCCATAATGAATTTATCTTGAAAAGGCGGGTCCATTCATGTCATAAATGGCAAAATTCATTATTTTTTTGTGGATAAATAATATTCTTGTGTGTGCGTGTACATACTTTTTTTTTTTACCCATTCATTCATTGATAGACACAGGTTTTTTCCCATTTCTTGTACTATAAATAATATCCACAAGTGGGTTTGCTAGATCATATGGTAGTTCTATTTTTAATTTTTTGAGGAATCTCCATACTTTTTTCCATTGTGACTGCACCAGTTTACATACTCTGGTTTCTCTTCAGAGTGGAAAAATCTTTTGCTGTTTATATTCTCACCACCAGTGCAGAAGTGTTCCCTTTCTCTACATTTTTGCCAACATTTGTTATTTTTAATAATAACCATTTTAACAGGTAAGAGGTAAATCTCACTTGTGGTTTTGTTTTGTATTTCCTTTGATGATTAATGATGTTGGGAATCTCTTCATATACCTACTGGCCATCTGTATGTTGTCTGGAAAAGTGGTCCTTTGCTCGTTTTTTAATTTAATTTTTGGGCAATATATGATTTTTTCCCTCCTCAGGTGTGCTCATTTTTAATTGAATTTTTTTTCTCCTGTGTTCTTTATATATTTTGTATCTTAACCCCTGTTAGATAATGTGGTTTAAAAATAGTTTCTCCCATTTGGTGCACTGCCTTTTCATTTTGTTGATTATTTCCTGTACTGTACAGAAGCCTTTTAGCTTGATGTGGTTCACTCATTTATTTTTCTTTTTTTGGGCTTTGCTTTTGGTGTGAGATCCAAAAATTTATCACCAAGACCAATGTTAAAAAGCTTAGTACCCATGTTTTCTTGTAGGAATTTTGTTGCTTGGGGTCTTACATTCAAGTCTTTAATACATATTGAGTTACTTTTGTGTGTGTGTGACAAGATATTAGCCAGTTTCTTTCTTTTTGTATGTGAATTGTACAGTTTTCCCTGTAGCATTTATTGACAGAAATAGAGCAAACATTACTGATATTTGTATGAAAGCACAAAAGACACCAATACTAAAAGCAATCCTGACAAAAAAGAAAAATGGAAGGTATATTCTCCAAGACTTCAAATTATACTATAAAGCAATATGGTGTTGGAATAAAAATAGGCAAACAGATCATTGGAATACATTTGAGAGTCAAAAATAAACCCATACTTATATGGACAGTTAATTTATGACAAAGGAGCCAAGAGTATACAATGGAAAGTCTCTTCAACAGATGGTGTTGGGGAAACATAGCAGCCACATGCAAAAGAATGAAACTAAACCATACACAAAATTAACACAAAATGAATTAAAGACTTGGATGCAGGACCTGAAACCATAAAATACATAGAAGAAAAGAATAGACAATACATTCTACAACATTGACTTTAGAGATGTCCTTAGGAAAACAACTCAAAAAACAAAGGAAACAAAAGCAAAAATTGTCCTGTATATCAAACTAAAAATCTTCTGCACAGCTAAAGAAACTATCATTAAAACTACTAGACACTCGGGCCTCCCCGGTGGCGCAGCGGTTGAGCGCTGGGTTGCGAAGCTGCTCGCAACCTCTGCTGCGCTGGTTCGATCCCCGGCTGCTCTCCGGCCACCGGAGGAGGGTCCCACATGGCGTGCAGACCTCTCCTGCCGCCCGCTGCTCCCCTCAGCAGTGTACTTCGGTCCTTCTGCCTGTTCTGCTCCCCGCTCTGGCTCTGGTGAATTCTCTCACCCTCCCGCGCTTCTGACTGTACCCAGCGCTTGTATGTATGTATGTATCAATCAATCAATCAATCAATAAATAAATCTTAAAAAAAAAAAAAGGAAAGGGTGAGTGACCACCCTTCCATTAAAAAAAAAAAAAAAAAAAACTACTAGACACTCTACCAAATGGAAAAAAATTTTTGCCATGCCACCCCAATTGCAGTGTTTCCAAATTCCCAGGTTGGAGTCTGACAAACTCCCACTGCCCCATATTGGATCCAGGCCCACTCTAGTGTCAGGGAAATTCCTACCAAGGAAGTTCACATTGTCCTGGGTTCCCTGACACACTCCCCCTCGACTCCTGTTATTCTTTCCCTCAGGGGCTACCAACCTTAGTTCTTGAACTCCTGGGGATTCCTGGAGTTGTATAGCTGGGTCAGAGTGTCTGGATTTTCCTAGGAACACATGTCATTGTTTTTTTCTAGTTTTCAAGGTAGAGAGTGATTCTAGCCTCTTCATTTTACCAAGTTTTAGGTGGAATCTTTGTCATTAGCTAAAATTAAATACATATGTACTTGTTTGAGGTACAACTTGTCTAGAGTATCTTGTTGTCAATAGGGAACCATCCACCATCCCCCCCCACACACACCCCCACCCAGATTTCTTAGCTCTATTCACTTATCGTGGAGTTTTTTGGTAAATGACCCTACCGAGCAGATTCTCTAGAGGAAAATAGGCAGTATTTTGTGTAGCCTAACAAGCCAGATCCTTAGTCAAGAAAGAATTGTCAATTCACAGTTGGCCCAAGAAGATGGGCCAAGGTGGTCAGTGATAATGCCAAAAAAGTTGGAAAAATTAAGTGATGGTAGCTACTGAAGTACTGGAAGTAGAAGAGCTATCTGGCCATGTTTACATTTAGGGTACACACGGACAGAAAAATGGAGGATTGGTGGGTCTCCCCGGGTGGCGCAGGCAGTTGAGCACAGTGATGTGAATCTGTCCACAGCCTCTTCAGCGCTGGTTCGATTCCCGGCTTGCCAGGGAGAATCCCTCATGGTGTGGCAGACCTCTCCTGTCTCGCCCACAGCTGTGTATCTCAGTCAGTCTGCCTCTTCTGCTTCCCACTCTGTCTCTTGTGAATCCTCTCGCCGGCAGAATGTCTGATCTGTACACAGTTTCTTGTATGTATGAATAAATAAATCTTTTTTAAAAAATGGAGGATTGGAGTCACTACAACAAGACTAGAAAAAGGGAAATGCTTTAAGTGGTTTTTGGTCATTTTATTTTAAGTTATGATCCACAATAAATATGTATTAATTTTATAACACTAGAAATCACATAAACTTATTTTGTAGAAAATCTACTTTTGGAATAATTTTCTCTATGATATAATGCCAATTTAATGCAATCTAAAATTATAGTCCCAATTAGAGAGTGATTTGATACTTCTTTGATCCATAAAATTTCCATCAGAAATTTCCAGGAAATAAACATGTTACCTATATTTTAATGTAAGAAACACATCAATTCCACCCAGCAAATTAGAGTGAAAATTATAACCATATTACCTGCAAAACTTACTCTGCTAATTTTATAGCTCCTTAGCCCTCCACAAATTACAAAAACATTCACACCTATGTTGAAACTTTTAAGTAGAGTGACAGCCTGTAGCAATGAGCCCCGAAAATTGATAGTGAAAATAGTGGTTTATAAAGGGAAGCTTGAGAGATTAATTATAGCCTCACTTTGTCTCTTCTCAAATTGTATTTCTTTAACAGATGTTTAGTCCCTGGTAACCAGATTTGTGTTTTGTTGTAGTTATTTGAACTTTTTAGTAAAGTAGTTTTCAGAATTAATTTGACAAATATTTGGCTATAAAACTAGAGATGAGATTTAATAAGCAACTCTGTCATCATTTTGTCTTATAAGTATTTTTGTTATTGAGATAACTTTTCAATTTATTGGAAATAAAGTCATAAATACATCTTGGCATATATTTTATACTAGCTTGTAAAATGATGTTCTCTGAGTTTACCTGTGCACACAGGACTCCATAAAAAGTCATTTTATCAGCCACTTAAACCAAAGTACTTACTAAGAGCAAGTTTGTAAATATATTTACACTGTTTAGAATTAGGTAAGTAGTGGGCAAACTTATTTTTGCAAATTACACTTAGGAAACCATTGAAGACACTCTTTAAGGTACTAAAAAAATAAGTACAATGTACATATAACTATTTCTAATTATAATTATTTTGGATAAATGCAAATTTAACTGCCTTCAAATAGGCATACTTTTGACAAGTGAAAATGAGATTCCATAGACAGTGGGCGAATAGTAAATTCAATATAAATAACAATGAAGAAACCACATATGGTAAGCCTGGGATTCAGAAATTGACTTTAAGATTCTCAAATAAATAAAGCTCTTCTTTGAAGGCAGACAGATGTATTAATTTTTAATTTGTTTCCTTTTGATCTCTTAATTACTGGGAAAGATTTATAGGTTAATTTTGGGAAGGCAAGTGTTTTTGAAAAGTTTTGCCAAAAACTGTCTTCTTTAAATGACTGTATGGTAATGAAAAGTTAAGAAGAGAGCCAAATTAGATTGAATAATTGTTCAGTCATGTGGGTCAGGCTAGTTGCATAGCCTGGTTGTTAGACTGATTGCTCAAATTACATTGCCTGGGGTCTTGCACTTGGTTGGCTGTCTTCTCAGATCTTAACAAGGTTCTGGGAATTTCTTTTTCTGACAAAGTTTGCTTTGTGTTTTTCCCTGCCCCCACCACCTCCAGGATGCTTCATCTGCAGACATTAGAAAAGCATATCGTAAGCTTTCACTAACTTTGCATCCAGACAAGAATAAAGATGAAAATGCAGAAACTCAGTTTAGACAAGTAAGTGAAACATGCTATTATTTTATGTATTTTGTGACAGTTATAAATAAGTGTTTATGACAGAATTAGTAACATGTAGAATATTTCCACTTGAAAATGAGATTAAATAGTAATATATTCAAACAAAATATGTTTTTACCAATGTTTTTATATTAGAGTGTTAGTCCAGGGAGGGTCATATTTGTCATAACTTTGTTGTGTAAATTACAGCTTCTGCTTTTAAAAAGCACATTTTAAGATAATTTTTAAGATTTTTGTTTTAAGATTTTTTTTCATGTCACAAAGATTTATTTTGATATTAAACATTTTTAACCTCTCATGGCACTACTGAAAACGCAAAATGTTACTTACTAATTTTTTTTCTGTTCATTGTATATGTGAGCACATAGGGCTTTCTGCATGTGCCCTGTAGTATATTCACCTTTCTTGAGTATTTTTATTTTAAAGCAATGCTTCTGTTTTAGTTGGTGGCCATTTATGAAGTTTTAAAGGATGATGAACGAAGGCAGAGGTGAGTGTTCATTTTTGTTTTTGAACTAAGACATTACAGTTTGATGTTTCCATTTAGAGGAAAGAATTCTCATTAAAATTTAATTTAATACTTTGCTTTTTGTTTCTTCCAAGATATACAACATTTGTAAAATGTATGTTTAGAGCATAGTTAATCTCTATTGAAAATATTCACTAGGTTGATTCAGTTCATACAGACTTTATGAGTCATGGCATCAGCAAGTCATGGCTTCATTAGAACAATTTTTAACATGAATATATGTGCCCTGGAAAATACAAATACCACCTGACTTCAAACAAATGCCCAGTTTTGATATATCGGTAATAGCTTCTGTCTATGCTTGGTAATCTTCTTCTTGTTTCTGTTTTTTAACTTTTATAATTAGGCTGAAGTGATGTTCAAGTTATTACCATTTCTTCATTATGTTTCTTCACTGTTAAAATAATAACCCTATTTGTGAGAGAACAGCTTAGACAAGTCTATAAAAGATAGGAGAAGAAAAACATTTGCTTCTTTTTCCTATTTCTTTTACCTCCTCTTCCCTTTCTCTGATTCAGTGAGTCTGTGTTTAGATTTAAACTTTGTAGTAGAGGCAGCTTCCTTGTCCTGTGACCTTTCTGTTAACTTTAGAAGAGTAATAATATAGTAATACCATGGTTTATAGCACCAGAAACTTAAGAGATTGCAGAGAGACCCCCTTCCATTACCCCTTCAGAATGTGTAGAATGCGGATATTATTGTGATGAGTTTTCCAAGTCAGACCTACCGTAAAAAACACATTTTGCATCATGCCTCAGAACAGATAGGCATACAACTGAAACAAAATTTTACAAAACATTTCTTACTGCCTGTGAAGCAGATCGATATTTTCTTTACAAAGCTAGCCTAAACTGTTCTGCTTTATGTTTTTTAACAATGCTGGATATGGTCCTCTAGATTAATTTCATGAGGCACTAGTGGGTCAGTCCCCAGTTTGAGAATGTTGCTCCCTAGTACCTTAAAAAAAGATAACTGAGGTATTTGAGATTTTAGGCTAAAACTAGCCCACAAATCCTTGTCTCTCTATGGGTGCTAATAAAACTTCAAGCCAACCCAAAATACTATGCTGTGTGACATTCTGAATCTTTTCAAATGTATTGTCTGGAATTATTCTGTATCCTACAATGTTAGTTACCACTCTTTGTTCTCATCTTAACTCTTTAATTTGAATACCTCAGTTTGTCAGATTGCAAAGGAAGGACTCAAGATACTCTGGATGTGTTCTTTGCTTTATAACAAGGGCTGGCGTTGGTCCAGATACCATAGCAGACATTCCTCTGGTTTGAGATAATCCATGGTGTTGAAAGAGTCCTAGAAGTGTGTTAAAAGAAGTGTTGGTCATTCTGTGCATATTTTCTAGTTGGTTTCTCTCAGTGGGCCCCTAGTTTGTTTCACACATCAAGAATGTTCCTGTAAAGATAGCTTTATTTAGTCTCCTTATAACTTCAGCATCAGATTTTGTCCTCTTGTTATCTTAAAAGTCAGTAAACTTTTTAACAATTTATTTCAAGTACTGATATTATGTCTTTTCTGAACAAATTGCTTCTTAGATATAAATTATTTCTTCATTAACTAATGTAGCCCCCTCTAACATTTTTAGGATTAGTTCCCTTTGCATTTATTTCAGAGTATTAGTAGGAAAAAAAATGGATCTGACAAGTTACACAAACAGCTCTAGTATTATACCCCTTGAGGCATTAGTAACTCTTTGGTAACTGGTTTTCCTTGAGGCTAGAGTCTTAACTAATCAAGCTGAGAATCACTCCTCTAAAGCTTGTGCCTGAGGCCAGGTGACCTGTGAGTATTTAAACATATAGGAGAAATGCAACACTACAGACAATTACCTAATGTTCATAATTCCTTCAGGGAAATAAACTATCATAGTTTTATCTTGCAAAAGAAGATTGTCTCCTACTGGTATTGTTCTTTTGTACTACAAATCTTTATTAAAATAGTCATTAAATAAGTGCTTTAAAATGTGTGGCCTTCCAGGAATTTGCAGCTTGGAAAATTGTCATACACACATTTTCCTATGTATTTCCCTTCCAAATAACTGTTTTCACTAAAATCAGGTGCATACTTTAATTTTTGGTAGAAAAAAGAATAACAATGAAATAGAAAACTGCATAACATGTTTTTAAGGAAAAATAAAATTTTATTCTACTTTTAAATAGCCTCATTTAGTATGGTTTCCATACCACAAAAGCCATATTCTTAAGAGTACAATTCAGTGGGTTTTTTTGTTTTTGTTTGTTTTTGGTTTTTTTTAGTAAATTTAGAATTGTGTGTAACACCTCAGATCAGTTTTTAGAACATTTTCATCACCTCATAATATTTCCTTAAACCCATTTGCAGGCAATCCCCACTCTGATCTCAGTCTCAACCAATTACTGATTTCCTTTCTGTGTCTATAAATTTGACTTTTCTGGACATTCTTATAAATGCAGTCATGTATATGTAGTTTTCTGCATCTAGTTTCTTTCTATCACAATGTTTTTGAACTACATCTATATGGTCACATATATGTTATTCTTTTTTATTGCTGAATACTATTCCACATACCACTTTGTTTATACATTTACCAACAGATAGAAGTTTAGATTATTTCTACTTGTTGGCTCTGATGAACAATGCTGCCATGAACATTTACATTCAACTATGTGAATAGATGTTTTTAAATTTTCTTGGGTGTATTCCTGTCAGTGCAATTATGAATAAAGCTACAAACCTTTTTTTTTTTTCCTCCCAGTTTTCCTGGTTAGTGTAAAGAAGTCTAGAATAGATACCTTTCCTAAACCCCTTAGGTAACTTGCTTATATAGGGAAATAGCAGCTCAATCATGTTCTGACATAAATTTCTGTACAAGTACCCTGAGTGTTAGCTTAACTACAGTACTACTGAGTAGATACCAGATAGTACTCCAGTATTATTAGCATATTCACTTTTGCTTAAAAGCTACCTCTTATAAATTTTCAAACAGTATTCTTTAATGAACCTAACTGGGCAACTTTAAATTTCTTTCATGTTACTGTATTTGTAAATGTTGAATGACCTTTTTAAGTTTACTAAATAGGGCCTCCCCAGTGGCGCAGCGGGTTGAGCGCAGCGCTGTGGAGCTATCCACAGCCTCTGCAGCATGGGCTCACCTGCTACTCCCCTCAGCAATGTATTTCTGTATATCTGCCTATTCTATTCCCCGCCCCACTGTGTCGTTGGTGAATCCTCTCACCCTCCCATACCTCTGGCCTGTACCCCAGTTCTTGTATGTATGAATGAATGAATGAATGAATGAATCTTTTTAAAAAGTTTACTAAATAAAATGTTTTATTTACAAATCCAATTGAAAGCATAGTTCAGTTTTAATATGTTAAACTTTTATTAATCTATTACTTAGGTATAATAAATTTGATTATAGTTGTATTTGAATAAAAACATAAATATGAGAATAGAAATTTCTCTTAGTAGCTTTCTTAATTGGCAAATAGAAGATACCTATTATATCCAATGAATAAAGTGTCATATACTACAATTTTTGATGAATTATACAGTTAGACTTGCTTCCTGTTTATGATCTTTGTACAATTAATATTTACTCAACTCCTCAAAATGTGATTTACATGAATGTTGTTATAGTTGTTTTAAGCTGAAAACTCCAATTTTCTGTGATGGAAAATTCACAATTTATGCAAATTCTAAGGCTACTTAAATATTCACTTTCATAGTACACATATCTATTTTTATTTAATAATTACAATTTTTACATTTGAAAATATATCAATATTTTAAATTTACATAATTTTTGTGCTAGTAATTTTTTAAAATTAAGATTTTTTTGCTTTCCAGTGCTTACATTAGTCTCAATATGTTTGATGAATTATATGTTATAGATGAGAACTCACTAATGATTATGTGACTATTATTTTATGTTCATCATTTACATTTTAAGAAAATCTAATGAAGTAAATATATTAGGTCATATGTTGGATTTTTAATCAGTGTTTTAATTTCTAAGATAATGCCTTTATAGTTCCATATGATTTTCTGTATTTATGATATTTTCATCATAGAGATTTATTTTTGTGCATTCTTGTATTCATACATGTGTGCACTCAACCTGGTTTTAATAGATTGCTAAGAGCAGTTTATAGCCCAATTACCAAGCATCTTAACAATGTTTACATATTAAGGAAGCATAACAAGTTTTTTAAATTTTATATGTTATCAACACTTGAAGTTTTTTTGAAAGAAATACCTCTTTTTCAATGTTTCAACAAAGTGGTGATTTATCTTTTTCAACATATATTCTAAACAGTGAACAACAATAGACGCTATCTTCCCTTAAAATGGCCAGTCCTAAGAGCCATAATGTTCATTGATAGTAAAATCAATAGGGCATTGATTCTAAGCTTAATCCTTGAAGACTGTTGTTTAGAGTGGCATACAGAGCTTACTAGATATCTGTTTAATGTGTTCAGTGTATGAGATTTTGCTATCTTGAATTTATGCACTAAATACAATTTATATGTGCAGTAGAAAATTGCAGCTATTAACAGATACATTGCATTTCAAAAATGGTTTTAAAATATTTGATATGCGATTCAGCTGTATTTTCTTGAAATACAGTTTAATACTATATAAAATAAATTTAATACTTAGTAATGTTCTTAGGGAATTGTTACCACTTTCTTAGATGTTCATTATTAATAACCATACTTTGTTATTTATAATGAAGTTACTTCATGGAGAGATTAGCTGAAAATGATTGTTATACACCTTTTCTCCCCTCAACAAATCTGAAATAGAATGCAGATTAAGAATAAATTCAGGATTTAACATTCATTGGACTTCATTTGAATGTAATCTTGTGTTACATACCACTTGAAACCTTTTTACCAATCCATTCCTAATTTAAAAACAAGTCAATTTTTACAAAGATAGGTTTAAATATAATTTTTTCATGCCAGGAATTATAGCTTTTGATGAAATCTTACCATTATGTCTGATATTAGTGTTTAAGAGTTGTTATAAGTGGTGAAAAGGGAGAATATTTGACGTCAGATTTTGTCTGATATAACCGTATTTTAATTTGTAACCTCTTGTGGTTTTAGTTTGCATTTTAAGAGTTTAGTATTAAGTAATGTTTTTGCTTTTAATATTAGTTATTCTGATCAGTTATTAATAATCTGTTGATCTAAAAGTCAGCTTTTCTGCATTTGTTAATAAAATATTTTGAATTTGTAGCCAATATTTTTCTACTAAAAAGAAAGAAGTTGCCTTAATAAATTCTCTGCCTTTTTTTTTTTTTTTGCATATCTCCAAGGTATCAATTTAATAACTATCAAAGTAGCTACTGCAGTTGTTGCATTTAAATTGATTTACATGTCAAGACTGGCAGTTTAGCAGCTGCGCTATTATTCCTAGATCGGTCAATTTACTTGAGAAAAACCTACTACTGAGTTCTACTGACCTGCCTGACAATATAGGCCCTATTTTTATTCCTGTAATTAGGCCTGCGACTAACTCAGAATATTTTTAATTAAAATATTTTGGTCAATGTGTTGCACCAAATTAGGCCTTTCAGTGAAGATTTAATTCTGGAAATAGTGTGATTAGAATATTTAATGAGTGGTGTTCAATTAAGATTAACAGGTTGCGTGTTTTGAACATAGTGTTTGTGTGTGACCATTTTAAGTTTTATAATCACAAATGTTACTTCTGATTTTTAACCATATAAATGTTACCTATGTAACTATTTTACAGGTGCATTTAAATTTAGTTGAAATCTTACTCTAAATTTAAAAATAGCTGATTTAAAGGCATTATTAGGAAAGCTCTTATTTGCTGTGTTCTTCCCTCCCAACAAAGCCAAAAATGAGGATATTGCCAATTAAATATTTATAAATAGTATATTGAGAAATCTGATTTAATCATTCGTTGTTTTCATATCTTTTTAATTTGAATATTTTTTCATTATCCAATGAAATGTGAGCAATACAAAGTTCTGAGCTGCTCATTTTTAGATTTTTACATCATTTAAGAAAAGTCTTTGATTAAATAAATGCATGTGTTTTTCAGCCTTGAACACGGGTAGAAATACAAGAACTAACTAGAAAATTTATTCTGTATGAATCCATTAATATATACTTCATGGTAACATATTGAGCTCTTATCTTGATTTTTCTCCCATTGAGATTCTTGCTATTATGGAGTCTGTACTGCAGACTGTTACAGACAGGTAGACTCTGTTACTCCTTTAGTTTAGATGTGATTCCAAGAGTCACATCATTGGAGTGCAAACACAAGGTCTGGTATCCAGGCCCATATTACTACATAGCGTTTTGACAATCCTCTGTGACTGAACCTACATACTGCATTTTGAATGTACAAATCTTTGCAATGCTTTGTAGTGTTGATAATCTACATAATGTTATCTATCTTGGAGAAATTCTTTTCTTTTTAAATATAAATAGAATTTTTTAGAAGTTAATCAATTTTAATAGAAAAGAATTTATTGAAAATACAGTGATTTAATATGACAGCATTTTCTTTGATAAACCAAAAAAAATAAGGTTTTTTGTTTTTATTTTAATCTTCCTTGAAAAACTGTTATATTTGCTACTGTAGGTATGACGATATTCTGATCAATGGACTTCCAGATTGGCGACAGCCTGTATTCTACTATAGACGAGTGAGAAAAATGAGCAATGCTGAGCTGGCATTACTTTTGTTCATTATTCTCACAGTGGGTCATTATGCTGTGGTTTGGTCAATCTACCTGGAAAAACAACTGGTAAGTATTGGTGATAAATCAAGTGATCTAACCTCCTTTATTTTATATAGAATTTTAGATGTATTTCAACTGATAGAGACCTCTATTTTTCTCTTTATACACCTCATTCTAATAGTTTTATACTCAGTATTGTTTGATTTTGTCTAAGAAGGACCTGTGGCATTAGAAAAATCTTTTTTTTTAAATGTGGCATTTAAATTTGTTATAAAACTCTGTGAAGATCCAATTATCTAGCTAAAAATAAAAGGTAGAGCCCCTTTATTAATTATTCTTCCAAATAGAAATGTTTAAAATGAAATGAAAGAGAATGATTTTAGAAATTTTTGTGTCACATGCCCTTATATAAAGGATGTTTACTTTAAAACTTTTTAAAGACTCAAAATGAATATAATTTCAGAAATTATTTGCTTTAAAAAATTGTATTTTTCTTAGTCTAATACAATACTACATAGTTTATTCTGCTATGAATTTTTATTTATATGCTAAAGATAATCTGACATTTATCAGTGTTTAATCATTCTTTTTGAAGTGACATTATTAAAGTTGGATGAGTGAGAAAAAGTAAGTTGAAGCTTTCTATTAGAAAACTTTGATTGCTATGGAGATACACATGACTGACAGTTCTGAACTTCATGTGTGTTTAAGGACTGATGCCATGGCAACAGTTATTGTTAAAGATTGATGATTTTACCTAATCATGTTGCACCCTACATACATTTGCATAAATGTTCTTCTATGATGTTTACCCTTCACAGAAGACTCTTAATAACATTTGAAGAGTACATGTTAATGATAGCTGGTAACCATATTTCTTTATTTCTTTCCACATTAAGGATGAACTGCTTAGTAGAAAAAAGAGAGAAAAGAAAAAAAAGACAGGCAGCAAGAGTGTGGATATATCAAAACTTGGTGCTTCTGAAAAAAATGAAAGGTAGGAGCATATAAAAATGTTTCATAATGTGAAACTATTTAACAAGTCTTTACTATCATTCAGTTTCATATATATATTCATTTCAAATATCCTAACATTTATATCTGTGGTAAGTTTATAAGACTGATAAATATGCCATCATTTATGAGATAAATTCTAAGCAAAATTTCTACCTGTAAAATGTTAATATACAATTAGTTAATTAAACCCCCAAATTCTTGTATTTTGAAATGTTTATACTGAACTTTAGAAGCAAAGTATTACTACGAGAATCTCTCATTTTAGTGTTTAACTGAGGAGCTATTTGTGGAGAGACAGTGATATGTAGTACACTCAAAAAAATATCACCATTTCTTAAGTGAGAAGGAAAAAGAAAAATATCAGATGATTTCACTTATAGGAGGAATATAGGCGAACCAAGTAAGGGATTGGGGAAAAAACGATAAATTAAAAAAACAATTAGCAGGCAACTATAAATCAGAGACTTTCTGCATTGGGGGGAAGGGAGAGGGATCAAAACAGGGGAGGGAAGAGCACAGGGACTATAGTGATGGTGCACGGGTGAACTGGTGGTGGGAGTTGGTTCTGATGACATCAGTGAGTAATACTTCAGTGAACTGCAAATGACATTAATTTTTATGTATTGGTTTGTTTATGCTACAGTCTTCATATCTGCTTGTCAGCACATGAAAACACTCTGATGATGTTTAATCTTTCATAGCTGAAGTAATCATAAGGTTTAAGATTCATTTTGCAGAACTGATGAAAAGTCCAGTTTAGAAGGAGGGCTTTTGTTTCATCTTTATAACTTGGCTAGGATCCAAATATCTATCTGTATATATGTGCATATAGATAGATGTATAGTTATCTCTCTCTATATATATATAATGTATATGTGACATATATATCATATACAGTGTGTATATTATATATAGAGAGATGTCTATATATAACATGTAATATATATTATATTTGCTATGTTACTCTGTTTTATGTGAGTTTAAATAACTGTCATAAATATTTCATTGAAAATTTTCTCTTTTTGATTGAAATTGCCATGCAAAAAAGAATTCATGATCTTTATGAAAATCTTGTTTCCCAGTTTTCACTCTATGTTTTGCTTCTTTTTTTTCATTTTTTTTTTTTCACCTATAGAGTGCTGATGAAACCACAATGGCATGATTTGCTTCCATGCAAGCTGGGAATTTGGTTTTGCCTTACACTAAAAGCATTGCCTCATCTACTCCAGGTAAAATGTACCTCTTTCATATAATATTAGATCCTCCATTTTAATTATTCATGAAATAATGTATGCCTGTGTCTGCTCTCTGAATGCTGATATACAGTGGGTACTTCATAAAACTGATCAAATTGAATAATGTTTTTATAAATGAAAACATAATTTAGAATAATTCTAAAATTATTTAGCTATTTGTCCCATAACTATCTTATATATTGCTTTTAGAATACCTTTGAATTCCTTAACAGAGGAAAAATGGAAAAAATGCTCTCTAGGACAAATATAAAAGCAAAAAAAATTAAATCTGCTGTTATTATTTAAAGCATATCTAATAAAAAAGAACAGGACTCAAAGAGGTTGTCACCCATTATTTCAGTAGTGTTTAAGTACATAATGGGAAAAAAAAAACCCTTACAAAAGCATCTGTACAGTTATGCAAAAATGTATATTACTTTCCATTTTATTTACAACTTTAAAGGTATGAGGATATTTTGTCTTATACTGATCAAAGTTTCTCTTGCAAGTTAGTTTTGACTAAACAATAAAATATGGATACATACTGTATTTATGTGGCAGTTTCTAATTTTTTTACTTAGCATATCAAGCAAAGCATATTTTAGTATATTGCTTTGCTACTTTAATTATTGCATCTGGTTTGAGAGTTTTCCCAAACACAGAAACAGTGTTTCAAAGTACATTTAATAGTTTTAGTGTAAAATTTTGAGGTTCTTTGAGATTGTCACTTTGAGGAGGAAATGTTTCATTTCAGAAAATAAATGTTTAGAAAAACTAAAGAGCCAATTAATTTCTAACCATTTTTTTTCATTTATCAGAGCCACTTTTCCTAATCATTTGAGGAACAAAGTTCTACATTTTATTCTTTTTCCTCTCATAATGAAAACTTTATATTTGAAGGTAAAATAAACTAAAAAATCACTAGTGTGTTTCTTTCTAGCCTCTAAGAAGTTATTTGCCAGTTCTATCCAAACAGTTCATCTTAATAGTCACTGCTTACATAATCATATATTTTAAAGTTAATACAGAAAAATGGAAGAATTTTAGTAATTATAGAAACTTATAAGTTGTTTGGCACATTATATTGTTTATTTAAAGAAAAGCCCACAATTTTTATATGCTATTTATTATTAAGATTTAGTAAGATTTTGTAACATATAGAAGATGTGACTGAAATATATTTTAGGACGTAGTCTCTAATATTGTTTCAGGAGTGATTATTTCTTGCCAGCTTTAGAACCTGTAGAATAGACAAATTAGCGTGTAGATGAATTAAAAAGTGTAGACATGAGGCATTATAAATAGAATGTCACAGAAAATATCAATCTGAAAAATTTGTAATTTTAATCTGAGTCATTTGAAATGAAGTTTACTTGGTAGAACTAATATATTTCTTGGTTAGCATACAGGTAGTTTACAAGAATATAATGAATATGTTAAGAATGCTTAGGTATACAAGTTGTTATTTTAAATTATCTGCTTGCAGTATGATTACATGTTGTTTTACATCATATACATTTTTAGGAAATATGAAAGTAGGGAATTCTATAAGGACTTTTTAGTCCTTTTGGAAACTGCTTTTTTAAACCACTGAATTTTTAAGTTTTTACTTGATGTACCTCTTCTGTCATTTCTGAGATATTAGACATTAAATTTTCAAAGCCCTTGTATATCTAGTTTTCAAATTTTGTTCCAATTACTTCTTCTTGATAAATGCATTCCAGGAAGAATAAAACACTTCCTTTTTTTTGAAAGCAAATATCAATATTTCAATCTATTTTGTGGACATGAAATTAGTTTTTCTCATGTTCACTAACAAAACAGTGAAATATAGTAGAGTGATATAAATCCCAAGTGTGAAAGTATTTTAGGTTAGTAGACATATAGCTTGTGAAATGCATCAGCAAAGCAATACTGAGTACTTGCTCTTAGGATTAGTTTGTTGTCTGATTTTTTTTCCCCCCCAGTCTGCAGTGATCTTTGTTTCTTTCACCATAAAATTGTATAATATGAATACATATGCCTTATCTATAATATTGAAGTTTTTATGTGACAATTCTATAAGATCTTAAATATTTTATTGAAAGTAGAAGAAATCCTACCTAAAGCAGCTGGATTGGCAATTGGTAAAAGTGGTCAAAAAAGAACCCTACCAGAGCCCTAAATATAAAAAGTGGTATATATCACCTTAAATGTTTTAAACTTGTTCTTTACATTTATTCACAACTTTGTGGTATAGAGCTATTCTTTTATTTTTAAATAGAAATCCTCTTCTTGGGCCTTGCTGGTGGCCTAGGGGTTAAGTCTCAGTGCTATCATTGCTATGGCCTGAGATCCATCCCCCACCAGGGAGCTAACCCATGTGGTCAGAGAGCTGACCTACATTGTACAGCAGACCTCTTCTGTCTCCTCACTGCTCCCCTCAGTAGTGTATTTCAGTAGATCTGCCTGATCTTCTCCCCGCTCTGTCTCTGGTAAATCTGCTCACCCCCGGCACCTCTGGCCTACACTATATTCCTTCTATGCAAAAATAGATAAATTAAAAAAAAATCCTCTTCTTGCATAAGCCATCCCTATAATCTTGGTGCCTTTAAGAACAAATTTCCATATGATTTCTTTAAAGAAGTGTTAAACTAGATACTTGAGCAATGTAATTGCATAATCCTTAGAGATTTTTATGATTTCCCCCAGTCATTCGTAATTAACTTACTTACATCAGTTAACAACATTTTAAGCAACTCGTGTATTGAGCTTTCCCAAGCATCCATTTGGTTTTCATAAAAAACAGCTTCATCTTCTACTCACATTTCATGTTTTTCATATAATATTTAATTGAATCATGTAATTGTGGTAACAGGTATTACTGACACAAACAGGTTTTGAGAACTAACACAACCAACTTATATAAACATCCAGTTGAGCAGATATTAGATAGGGGAGTTTTACTTATATGCGTTAGTCTCTTGAACTTCAATAAAAGTTTATTAAAACTGAGCTGCAAATATCTGTGTCATATATAGCTAACAGATAAGAACAGTTCCAAACTAAAAGTGAGAAATTCATCGACTTCCAGCAAATGCCCTCCACATTAGCAAAATCTGTACCCAAATCTTGTCCTTGGCATATCAACAACTCTTCATCTCCAACTTCTTCTATTCTTCCTCTAAGACCCATTCCTTTATTATACATATGTTTGTCCAATAGGATTTGCAAAAGTAGCATTTCTGGTTCAGCTTATGCCCCTAAATTTACTATTGATTACTTGACATTTAAGATCTCTAAGCAAACTTCTTATTGCTTGCTTCATTAACCTAAATTCTCTTTTATCTTCCTCCCAAAAAATTACAAATGAGAATAGTTATATCAATATTTGGTATATAATACTTGATTTGGTGTTATGTTTAGAAAAATAGTTTTACCCAGTTCATTAAATGCATTATACGTATCAGAACAAGGTACTCTAAGGGACATAAATATACCTCCTAGGATCTTACAGTTAGGTTGAAGTGTAACACAGGAATTAAAATAATTGTGCTATGGCATATAAACTTCACATGTGATATAAAGGACTTTATAGATGTTCAGAGAAGTAAAATTGTCTCTATTTAGGATAATCAAGGAAAATTTCAGAGAATTCACTTGAATTGAGTCTTGAAAGATGAATAGATACTTGATGGGCAAGTGCCCACTTCGTAGTAGGTAGTGTACAAAAATAATTTCATAGATACAGTAATTCCCATACAATCATACTGTGTTAAGACTGAGAAAGACCTGAGGAGAACTTCATACAATTGCTTTAAAAAAAAAAAAAAAAAAAGATATCACATAGCATATTACTGTAACCTAAGAATAGCACAGCTCTCTAGACTCTGAGTATGACCATTTGATTTAAGTAATCTATAAAAGAAGTAGACATAGAAAGTTAATTTATAAGACAGCATCATATTTCCTTCTCAGATATCTGTCAAGATAGGTTTAAATTGTTCAGAGAGTTAAAAGTAATATAATGAGCAGTAAATGCATACACTGGTTCTGTAATCAGGCAAGGTACAGGTAAAGTGTATCTGTGCAGCTTTCTTTCCTTTTTGAGAAGGTCCTTATTATCTCTAACCTGAATTTTATTCGTTTCCTTTGCTTTGAGAAAGATATTGGGAAAATTGTGAGAATTGGTACATTAGAAAAATGAGGTCAATAACTGAAAACCACTATACTTGATAAATGTGAAATTTTTGATAATGTTAAATTAATAGCAGACATTTCCCAGATTAAAAAGTATCCTAGGAAAAGATACTTAGATATATGTACATAACATAGCAATATGCCTCATGTCATTCATGTACCACACATGCAGAAAAATGAAAAGTCAAATGAGAAAGCAAAGTAAAACAATATGGAGAGTATAAATTGATGAATAGATAGGTTAGTAGGGGTGTAGAGAGATGAAAGTAAAATAATGACTATAGGCAAAGAAGCTGGGAAAACTTGAGAAAATGTGTTTAGGTAGCTAAGAATGCAACTGGAATGATTATTAGAAAACATGGAATATGAATTTGAACGTACCAAGGAACTTGGACAACACCTACAGGGGGCTTGTATTATTTGAGATAGAATTTATTTTCAATATTAAAAGGATAGTTCTAGGGATACATCTTTTACCATTCTGTTTTTGTGCTCATGGTAGTTTGAAGGGAATATACATTGTTGAAATCTAAACCAGTCTCTTGTATTGGCTGTATTCAATCTGTAGCCCCAAGAAATTTTTCTAACCTCCAAAATGGACTTCTTGGATATTTTTAATTGATCATATATATTAGCCATGAAAGAAACAAACAATCGATGAAATATAGTCAATGCTATGTGCATATATTTTACTCAATTCTTACAACTTTTTTTTTTCCTTGCCTTGTCTGTAGGGGAGTCTCATGTGTTTGGGTCCATAATAATTTAGAATCATTAAGACTGAATCTTAATATTCAGAATTTATTTGCTTGATA